CTGATTGTATGTCGCCCATCTGAGGATGCTAAGTCATACTAAACAAACCAAAAATGATAGAGAATTAGCAAATCCTCGTCTCATTTCACAACATGAACATGATTTACCAAAAAGTTGAATATATCCTAGCTTCCATACCACCAAAAAAGCCGAACTTAAAGTGGATTTTGCTTTGTGCACCAATCCAACACCTAGTAACATAATTCCCTTACTAATGTGTGTGTGTGTTAGAGAGAGAGAGAGAGAGAGAGATTTGTGTAGTAGAAGTCTAAGATGATCCCAAGTTAGTAAATGTATATTGTTATAAAAACATTTATATTTGTTTATATGATTTTTAGCTAATGTATATTGTTTTTTTGTAAAACGTAAATTGAATTTGTTTAGATCTCGATTATTGATAAAGTTGTTGGGGATTAATGTTTATTGTTCATTTTTTTTTGTAAAATGCATTACAAATTATTGAAAAATTGACATGTGAACACTATTTAAAGATACTTCATTATTATTATTATTATTATTATTATTATTTTGTATAATATACTTAACATTATATTTTATGAAACTAAATTATAAATGTGAAAATTTAAATATAATTTTGTATTATTGCATATATATTTAACATAAGGTGAATAATAATGTGATTATTATTAATTCATACATGTGTTATTCATATATCAATGTGTAATAAGATTGTGAATATTAAGATGAATTATTATAGTGATGGTATTGTTCATCACTATAGATATAGTACCGCCATTATATTTGCAAGTTAATTATATAGTGACAATATTGGTCCTCACTAAAGATACTCAATATCTAATATACTGACACAGACAAATTATATAAATTGTCACTATAGATATATTAGCATATCATAAATAACAACAATGTTCGTCACTATAAATGCTTAATAGTGACAAAATTGATTATCACTATACATTATCTATAGTGATAAAATTTAGAAATTCTATCACTATAACAGACAATTTATCACAAATTCACACAATCCCACTTGAGTCTATAACCCAGTACAACTTCCCAATGGTACCTTATTACCTGTGGCCTTCAAGGGAGAAGTTTCTCTCTCCCCTGAGTTAACTTTGAATGATGTTCATTTTGTCCCTGATTTTCAATGCAACTTAATCTCCATAAGGCTGTCCTTTTTTGCCCACATTTTGTATATTACAGGACTTGATAACCAGTAAGGTGATTGGGGTGGGAACAGTGCATAATGGCCTATATCAATTCCGAGTTGTGGTATTCCAAGTTGGGTCACACCTCATATGGTAGGCTATCTATGATTCTTAGTCTTCTCACAGTTATCTTCTAACACTCTATTTCCCACTTAGTCATTCTCATACATCCTCTCTATTCAAAATAATACATTGTGATATATGGGATGGGTATAGTACTCCTTTACATTGTAAATGCACATTATTTTCTAACACTTGTAGATGGTTTTTCACATGCCACATGGGTCTATTTTCTTAACCATAAATCTGATGCATATGGTTACTTCACCATGTTTGAAATCAATTTTAAACCATTGTTAAATGTGTATGGTCAGATAATGGGTTGGAGTTCCTATCAGGACCAATATTGGATTTCTTACATGAGCATGGCATTGAACATCAACATTCAAGTGTTGAAACACTCCAACAAAATGGGGTTGTTGAGAGGAAACACCACCACTTACCGGAAATTGCTTGGGCCTTACATTTTCAAGCACATTTACCCATTAGCTTTTGGGGAGAATGCGTTCTCATAACATCATATCTTCTCTCCGCCTCTCCGGCAAGACACCATATGAAGTTCTGTTCAAGAAAGCTCCCTCAAATGAGCATTTACGGGTTTTTGAATGCTTATGTTACGCATGAAATGTGCCTTCATTGGGTATCTCCATGGCCAGATGGATTACCATTTATACAATAGGGAAACTTTGAAGACCAATACCCATTCCAAAGGGAACGTACCAATGGCCGACAGAGCCCAATCTTTCCTTTGTCAGTTGCTGAATACACAAATGATGTTGGCCCATTGGCCCATGAACTTGTTTGCATATTGTTACTGATAGTCCCTCTAATATTGATGGTATACCAGCCCAAACCCACATTCTTGTAACTGAGCCCATTGATTCCCCAACAAATCAAATTGACACTATTGGATCCATACTTGAACCCACACCTGAAACCACTGGTACATGACCTACTCGTCCATGTAGACCCACCCACCCATCTCTCCGACTTTGTTTGCCCCACCATTCATCCCGCCACCAACCCTAACATTAGATATCCCATTTCCCATTATACTCATACATCATTCTCCTCACATAACCCACCAACTGAACCCACCTCCTATGAACAAGCTAGCAGATACTCTTGCTGGCAACAAGCTATGCAAAATTAGGCAACACCAGCACTTAGGATTTGGCCAATCTGCCTCTAAGGGCTCTACTCAACAGGAAGGCATCGATTACTCTGAAACATACACACCAGTTGCCAAGTTTGTTACTGTACATTGTCTCCTGGCTTTAGCTGTTGCTCGACATTGGGATGTCCATCAAATGGACGTTGACAATGACTTCCTTCATGGAGACCTTAGTGAAGAAGTTTACATGAAACCACCACCAGGACTTCTCCAACCAGGTGATACAAGAGTATATCGTCTGAAAAAATCAATATATGACCTCAAACAAGCCTTACAGAATCGGTTTCACACCCTAGCTCACAAACTTCATCAACATGGTTTTTCACAATCCTCTGACTCTTCACCTCAATTGAACACGAAAGAACTTTGGCTATTCTTGCTTGTGTTGATGATCTTCTCATAGTAGGTGATGATTTAGATCATATTACAACACTTAAATAGTATTTGGGTCAATGCTTCCCCATCAAGGAATTTGGCCCATTACGGTATTTTTTGGGCATTGAAATATCTCAAAGTGATGACAACATTTTTCTATTCCAAAGAAAATTTATTAGACATACTCAGAGATGTTGGCATACTGGCTTGCAAACCATGTTCATTTCCCATGGAACAACAAAACAAACTCAGACCTGATGATGAACCTCCCTTAGTTCAGCCTGATTGTAGTGGGCCAACTCATTTACTTAACTATTACAAGGCCAGAAATCACGTACTCAGTTCATGTTCTTAATCAATTCATGAGCAATCCTAGAAAAGATAACATGGATGCAGCTCTTCGGGTCATGCGCTACTTGAAGTCTATTCTTAATCAAGGGTTGCTTCTTTCATTCAACAGTGATCTACGGATCCGAGCCTATTGTGATTTAGATTGGGCTGGATGACCGTTTACGTGCTAGTCAACCACATGCTACTTTAGTACACTTGGAAGATCTCCATTATCATGAAAAACAAAGAAAACGATCGATAGTTTCCTATTCTTCATAGAAGCCGAATACCGGGCTATGGCAGCTACTACAAGTGAACTCGTATGGCTCAGATGACTCTTCAGTAACTTAGGTCTTTTTTTCCTTGCAACTTATGAAGCTTTACTGTGACAAAAAAGCGACACTCCACATAGCCACTAATCTTGTCTTTCTTGAGTGCACTAAACATGTCAAAATTGACATGTCATTTCATCTGAGACCATCTTCAGTTGGGACTTATCATTGCCTCTCATCTCTCGACTAGACTTCATCCTGCAGACATTTTCACCAAAACACTTGGGCTTGATCAATTCACATCCCTACTCTCCAAGTTAGGCATTATTCAAAACTACGCTCCAACTTGAGGGGGCATATTACAACACATGGAGATTAGCTTAGCTAGTTAGTTACATGGGTTCTTGATCTTGATTCTTGAATCCCTTACACCCAAATGCATCGACCTCAAAAGTTTCAAGAGTATTCCCCTATATCTATAAATATTGCAGTGGAACAAATGATTGTTGTGCAATTCACACATTTTTAGAGAGAGAGAGAGAGAGAGGTCTCATGAATCTCTCATTGTCAAGGTTCAAAATATCGATATGCCGGTAGGGGCGTATCGGGCGAATCGATACTGCATTTTTATACGTTTTTTATTTTTTTCGTAGCCGGTTCAAGGGGGCCGGTTTAGGTCTCCTCCATCCCCTGAACTGGTCAGACCCCCAATACACCCACTGTAGGGGCGTATCTAAGGGGTCCCGAAACGATATGTATCGGCCGATACGGGCCAATACGTGTCGATACTTTGAACCTTGCTCCTTGTAATGTGAGCATTAATAAATGCATTTGCCTTTTGCCTTTAAAAAGGGTAAATCATTGAAACTTCTGCTGAAGTTTTTGACCGTTGCTGAAAGCTCTCCTAAAATTTAATAATTACAATTACTTCCCCTGAATTTTCTTATACAATTGTAAGTAGAACCTCTCTGATAGAATCTTTGAAAAGAACATAAAAATGTCTAAAATACCCATGCAATTACTATTGAAGTCGGTTTCTACAGACAAAAAACAATACAAACTTCATGAGCAACAAAAACAAAGAGATTTTAAAGTTGCATCTTTGCCTTTGAGTGATTGATAGGAAGGCAAATTTGAAAAATAAATCAATTTCAGAAAAGAGATCAGAAGGGTTTGGGATAGTAATTCATATAAAGAAAAAATTTGGAAAATAAATATTTTTGTTAAAAGTAATTGCATGAGTATTTTAGATATTTTTTTTTACTTTTCTTAGAAAATTCTACCAAATGAGGGTGTACTTGCAACTATGTCAGAAAATTCAGCAATAGTAGAAACTTTAGGGGAGGTTTCAGCAATTTATCCTTAAAAAAAAAAAAAGAAAAAAGAGCGACTGCTGCAAAGGAATATCATGGTTGCTGTAAACGTTTAACATTCGACGATATCCCTCTTCCATGCATTAAAGCTTCTATGAGTTGAATAGATTCATTTTTTAAGCGAAAAAATCAAAGCAATATAATGGAACGAAGCCCTCCCAAACTGATATATGGATACATCTTTTGTGAATCATTCTTCGGAAAAAAGGGAAAGCAAAAACAAGATTCAAAAATCTTGATTCTATACGTAATAACTTAAATACAAACTGAGGTAAATATTAACCAAAAGAAAAAAAAACAAGATTTCTTGAAAGCCATTAGTTGAGCTTAGAGTTCTATTTCCCTTTCACCTGTTACAAAACAAAACCAATAATCCGTCATTCAGATGGCTTTTACAAGGAACAAAAGCAAATTACCACTCCTGCTGCTTGCTGTATTTCTTTTTACACAAATAAGAATATATGGTACTCTAAGAATATTACAATGTGATTTGATTAAACATTAAAGAGAAACTCGGGATGGGGTTTAAAGAATTGGCTCCGTCAATTGCAGCGGAATGGACAAAAATTCTAGTAAACAATCGATCGACCCTGTCCCATTATACATAAAAATGGTATCCAGGCTACGAGGGTATTTACATTCAGATGCATGTATGCTGGTGTAGAAAAGGACGCCTAGTCACAAGCATGCCTGCACCGGCCATTGCACAGAATGATGCATGGATTTCATTCCCACCTTTCAATCTTCTGCCATTTCACGGAATATGCAAATTGCGGAAGTCATCGGCCACATCAGAGGGGGCACTCAGGTTTCGGAAATCAGATCGGTGAAGGACATTGGCTTGGAATCTTCTAGAGTTGCTGGATTTTGAGTTAGAGCGTTTGGTTTTGGATGAAGAACAATGACGCACATGAATCCAGTGGTTTCTTGCCTCAGTGCTGCAACTGCCTCGAACATTCACCACCAGTATCACTTCCTTGTCTCGGTTGTCCTCGCACCAAATGCTCTGTTGAATGCCATCAACAAACTGTTCTATGGTATTAAATTCCTCAGGACGCACCAAGACCTCAGCAATATGGCCAGGTTTAATTACACCAGATGCTGGAGTGACCTTATCATCCATAAGAAGAATTTGATCAAAAACATGGGACAAATTATAGAAATTATGTTTTTCTCTTCTGAAATAAGTATTTTTTTTTCCTTGTATGCCAACCATGTTTGCAGATCACAACAATCTTTGTATCGTAAACTAATCAGATAAGAGTCTTGAAAACAAGGATCAAAATTTCGTAACCCATCAACCCCCATACATTATTTTTAGAGTTTTTTTTTTTTTTTAAAAAAAAAGATAAACGTTAATAAACATTAATCCAACCCCCTTTAAATTTTGAAAAAAAAAAACAAATGAAGCAGAAGGTTCAAAGTACTGATATATCCCTTCTACCATATCGAGGTGCATTGATACTTTAAGCCTTGATTAAAAAAAACTAAAGTAAGAGCATTTCTGCTTACTAAAGTTGTGTTTGGGGTTGAACCCTATGTATGAGTCTATTAGGGTTCAAATATTGGGAAGTAAAGATCTCCCATCAATGTAGGAAGTGTATGCCCTAGTGCAGTCAAAAGAGAGCAAACAGAATGTGATGAATAATCCCAAGGGAGAGCCAATTGCCTTGACAGGTAATGGAAGTGTAGTAGTAGGTGGCGGAAGTCTTTATAAGAAGGGTGGTTTCTAGAAGAAAACAAATGACAAGGATAAATTATGGTGCACTCATTGTCAAAGGTCAAGGCATACTCATGATACATGTTGGGACCTTCATGGGAAAGACGAAATGGACCAAGGAGTTGAGTAAGAAATCAGATCAAAATAAGAAACTAGGACAACAGGGTTAAAAGAAGTTCAATGTAGCAAAATTGGCTTCTTATGAGACTTAATCTTTTACAACTGCTATGAGCCAGGAATGCTCTTCCGAGACTAATCCCAAGGAAGATATCATTAAGTCCTTCCATGACCATTTGGAATTGTATGGTAGGGTAATTCATCAGATGGATTCAGCCCCTCTTCCCTTGACTTCGTCCATGACCACAACTTTCCAAGTGTCTTCTCATTCCTTAGACTCTCCCTGGATAATATATTTGGAGCCTCGAACAATATGACTAGTAAGTCTAATTGTTTTCAGTCTACAAGCTTTTACTACTGGAGACAAGGCAAGACTAATTGATGGCTCGTTTTCCACCATAGCTGGTCAAGGAACCATCTCTCTACTCGTTTTCTATTAGTAGTATTACAAATTCATTAAACTGCTTAGTAACCTTTTTTCCTTTCTCTTGTGTGATATAAGATTTGGCCTCAAAGAAGACGATTGGTAGAGGTAGTATGGTGGATGGTCTCTACATGTTAGAGAATAAAGCTTGTTTTGTGGCAATAACGTCTACAAGTCAGTCTAGTAAGAGTTAAGCCTATTTATGGCATAGTCATCTGGGTTACTTATCTTTTGAGTCATTAAAAATTTTTGTTTCTAGAGTTAAGTCAATGTCAATGCCTGAATTTACATGTCAAACATGTTAGTTAAGCAAACATTGTACAAATCATTTTCCTTAAAGAAATAATAAATTTGGATTTCCTTTCCATATTGTTTATTCTGATGTTTGGGCCCTATTACTTTACCTTTCGAGCCTGGTTATAAACATTTTATTTCACTTATTGATGACTATTCCAAATTTACATTGATGTATCCAATGTGTTCTAAAGATAAAGTGCCAAAAGTTGTAAAAGATTTCTAACGCCATGATATTCAACCAATTTCAAATTGAAATCCAAATTTTCCAATCCGACAATGCCAAAGAGTATTTCCAAAGTGACCTTATGGAATTTTTTGCTTTGTATGGATCCCTTTACTGCAATTCTTGTCCCAAAATGCTTCAACAAAATGGTGTTATAGAAAGAAAAAGCCACCATCTCCTTGAATGTTCCAAAACATTTTTGGCTAGATATTGTCTTATTTGTTACATACCTTGTTAACCATATTCCATCTCGTTTGTTGGAGTACAAGGCCCTACATCAACTCTTGTTTCCCAAAGCTCCCTTATTTCCTATTCCCATATGTGTGCTTGATTGTTGTGTCATTCAAGAATTGTCTACCACTCGTGGTAAGCTTGATCCCCATACTATTCCCCATGTTTTCTTGGGTTACCCTTCTTTTCAAAAGGGTTACCAATGTTTTGGTTATGTTTCCAAAAAGTAGTATTATGTTTTTTTTTTTTTTTTGAGAAAAGATTTTGTATTAATAAAAAGGCATTGTGTACAATGAGTAGTTGTACAAAAAACAACCAAAAGGACCTCAAAAAAAGGGCACCCTCAAAAAAGTATAATTAGAAGTATTTTCTTTAAAACCAGAATGTATAGACAAGTGTTTTAAAAGCGCAAGGCGCAAAAAACGCACAAGGGCCAATTTGTGCTGAGGCACAAGCCTTTTTAAGCAACGCACAAAATTACAAAAAAAAAATCTAAAAAATAAAAATAAGTCCAAAAATTCAAAAAAAAAAAAAACAACAAAATTTAAAAAATGCAAAAATATTAAACATAATGTTAATAAAAAATATAAACTTAAAATTTAAAATAAATGTTTTAAAAAACATATTATCTAAAATTAAAATACATAATCATAACATGTAAAGCATATTCAAATGAAAATTTAAAAATAAAAGCAAACATATAAAGCATTTTCAAGCATGTAAAACCCACAATCTCTTTTTCTCCTTAATTGCATTGCTTCAAGTAGCTAATGTGATGTAAAACATATTGCATTCTTGATTCTATGAGTCGCCTTTGTACCATGCCCCTCGAGGCAAGCCCGAACAAGTCTATGTTAGGGTCTAAAATTCTTATTTCTCACATAAAATAATGATTTTATAACTTCCATTGCCTTTTAAGAAGATATTTTATTGCAATGAATGAATGAATGTTAGACTCAAAAAAAAAAAAAGCAAAATGCACCTCACCTGTGCGCCTAGGCGCGCCTCAAGCACGCCTTTTAAATCATTGGTATAGACATCAACTCCTAACAGCATCTATACTCTATAGCCGAATTAATGATCTCGGCTTTAGTAGTAGTTTTGTTCTCAAAAATCCTTTTGTTCCTTTCTGACCACACAGCTCATAGAACTGCTGAAGGGATGGAAGACCAACAAATTTTCCATTTCTTGGTTAACCCAGGTAGATGCCACTCCTCCAACAGAGCTTTAACTGAGACTGGCATGCACCAATTCAAGTTCAAGGCTTTCAAAAAGAGATTCTAGACTGCTGAGCTAAATTTGCAATGAAGGAATAGATGCCAAGAGGACTCCACCTCCATATTGCATAAACAACACAATAAGTCTAAAATGTTAGAGACACTTTTCAGTAACATCTCTTTGGATAGACACCTCTCCAGAGCTGTCACCCAAACAAAATACTTGACTTTTGATGGAGCCATATTCCCCCAAGTGGCTTGATTGGGGAAAGGGACTTCAATCTTCCCCACTAGAAAATCGTAAAAGGATTTGATTGTGAACTCAAGCCATTTGTGTCTAGCTGAAGAGGAATATGGTCTGAAATAGCCCTTGGTAGTGTTCCCCGCCTTGAGTTGGGGAAGGTTTCTTCCCATTCCGGAGAAATCCAAAACTTGTCTAATCTTACTAGTGAAGGATTATTGGTTTGGTTGTACTTTGCTCCAGAGAGTGGCAGATTAATTAACTCCCACCTTTGAATGAATTCCATAAAAAGTCTAATACCTTTATTAATCCTTGTACAACCTTTTTTGTCTTCTAGATTGACAATAGCATTGAAATCTTCCCAATCACCCAAGGTCCTCCCCAAAATCTTCTGAGTTTAGTTATTCCCAAAAATCTTCTTTCAGGCTGGAGTCCACCAGCCCATACACCCTTATTACCATTATCTGTAAGTTATGTGTTTATGACAAAAACATAACTAAGATGGAAAACACCCAAATCTTCTTGTTTAAGAGCTTTAAGGAATTATTGTTCCAAAATAGAGCCACTCCACCATAAGTATTCACCATAGGGATTTCAAGCTAGTCGCAAGCAAGGTTCAAAATATTGATATGGCCGATACACCGGATGGGGTGTATCAGCCTGCATTGAAGCTCACCTTCATTTCTTTTTTAGATTTTTTTCTCTCAAACTAGTTCAAGGGAGTCGATTTAAGTCTACCCCCTGAAATAGGTGAGACCTTGAAACACTATGTATAGGGGTGTATCAGAGGGGCCCTGATATGATGCGTATCGGCCGATACGCCCCAATATGTGACGAAATTTTAATCCTTCGTCGCAAGGATCAAAACCCCAAATGCTACTCACCACTCTGAAGGTCAACTTTTGTAATTTGGTTTCCTAAAAAGAAAATCAGGCTTCTTGTCTTTTAAAAAACCACCGATTAACATTCTTCTTCTATCAAAGCCTAGTCCTCAAACATTCCACGAAATTACTTTGATTCTCTCCATTTCTTAACCTTTTGTATTTTCATTGATTCGAATTACACTCCCGACGGTTTCATTTAAGCCCCAAGACAATCTCAGCAACTCTTTCGACTATCTTCTATTCTTTTTATCCTTTTCCCACCAAAAATCTATTTTCAATGGCAACTAACAAGGCTTTTGTTTCCTCCTCCATCCCTTTTCTTTGGCTTCTCCTCATAGGGAAAGTAGGGTTAATGCTTTACATAAAAATGGTACATAGAAGTTGGTGGATCTTCCTAAAGGAAAGGAACTGGAAGGGTGTAAATGAGTGTTTACAGTGAAGCACAGGGCTGATGGCACAATGAAAAGGTATAAAGCTCTGTTAATGGCAAAAGGGTTTACTCAAGTGTATGGAGTACATTATGCAAAGATGTTCATCAATTGGATATCAAAAATGCCTTCTTAAATGGTGATTGTTTGTGTTGTTCAGCCGAACTGAGAAAAGAGGAAGAAAGAAGAGAAGAAGAGAAGAGGGAGAAGAAGGTGAACAGTGTCGAACTGAGAAGACTAAACGTCTAACCCAATCGGCCAAGCTTAAACATTACAAAAAAATAAAATTACAAGGACTGAAGTGCCCCTGCATATGAGACATACAACTA